CTAAGCAAATAAACAGCTTAGAGTTACTTGGGCCTCTGCCAGATGAGAAATATTTGATCTGTTGACCTTTTTCTTGGGTCACTGTTCACTGTGCAAGGTTTTGACCTGGATTCTGTTCAAAATAGAAGAACCAGCTTAGTGTTCAGACCGCCAAATAAGGAAAAGAATGAGGGATCTGGGCGTTCTGTCTCGGAAGCTCCCCTTGGAAGGAGCGTTTTTTATAGACGCAAGACGTCTTCCAAGCTCCGGCCAACTTTCGTCCCGAGGTGGGGGTTCCCGAGCCGGCCCCCTTCTCAGGGCCCGGGACCCAGCCTTGGGCTCGTTGCGCAACACCTGCCCCTTCCCGTTCGGGCTCTGGGGGGGGGGGGGGGGGGCAGGTTGCAGGTCACCGGCGTCGCTGAACGGCAGGCAGGTACGTGCAGGCTGGTTGAACCCGTGGAGGAGACGTTGCTCAGCAGGTCCCGTGTGGAGCACAAGGACCTCCATGCCTTTGTCTGCTCGTGGGGGACGTGTCCCCGGCAGCACCTGCTCAGTGCACAGCGGGGTCCGCGCTGCTGAGAGCCCGTGAGCGGCCTGCACCGTGGCCGTGGTGGTGCGTGTGCAGCGTGGTGGTGCGTGTGCAGCGTAGCACGTGGGGCGGTCACTGCTCCCCACCCACCGCACCCACACACGGCGCACAGGCCTGGGCTGTCTGCTTGGCCGCCTGTCCTGTGCCTCCGCTGCGGGCGGTGGCTGCGGGAAAGCCCCGGAAGCTTTGCGCTTGGGTCACGGGAGCTGGCTGACTGCAGGCCCTTTGCTGCCTGTGGCCTGGGGGCCCAGAACCGCCCAAAGTCAAGGCCGAGATGGGAGTGATGTTGATGCCTAGAGAAACTGGCCAAGTGGAGACATTCCGGCTGCCGAGCAGGGAGCAGGGGGAGGAGTGAGTGACAGAACCCAGTGGGGGAGGCCTGCTGGTGGGCGGGATTCCAGGCCGAGGCAGGACCGTCGTCTGCATGGCCGGCCGCGGCCACCTTTCCGCTCCAGTTGGAGGACTCGTGGCAGCAGCCCCCAGGGAGGACCTGCTCTTACAGGCACGTGAGCATCACCTGCGTCACCAGCCCTTAGGGCAGGCTTTAGGGCAGGGGTGGGCAAACTTTTTGACTCGAGGGCCACAATGGGTTCTTAAACTGGACCGGAGGCCGGAACAAAAGCATGCATGGAGTGTTTGTGTGAACTAATGTAAATTCAAAGTAAACATCATTACATAAAAGGGTGCGGTCTTTTTTTTTTTTAGTTTTATTCATTTCAAACGGGCCAGATCCGGCCCGCGGGCCGTAGTTTGCCCACGGCTGCTTTAGGTGCTGCCCCTTACAGACGGGACAGGGTGAGCGTGGGTCACGGCTGTCGTAAGAGACTGGGTTTGCGGTTCAGACTTGGCCACTGTCTTCTGCACCATCTTCTGCCCTCGGGTCGGAGCTGAGCTTGTTTCGGGTGCACAGCAGGGGACGGAAGAGTGCTGGGCGCTCCTCTGTTTCAGGGGGGCCTAGCTGTTTCAAGAGGGGCCTGTGCTGGGTTGGTAAGACAGGGACATAGGAGTGAGGTCCGTGGGCTGGTCTGTGGGACCCTGGCTGACCTGGCTGTCCCCCCTCAGTGACCCTGGAGGCTGCTCGGGTCTCCCTGAGCGGGTCGCTTGCTGGGCGGGCTCAGGCCGTGGTCCTGAATGTGAAACGCTCCCCGGGTGGCGAAGGTGAGTGAGCGCTGGAGTCTGGTGCGAAGCGCAGCCGAGGCCCCGCTGCACGCCACCCAGCGGGGGTGTGGGGGCGGCCCCAGTGCAGGCCCGGGGGTCCTTGCATTTGGTCACCCAGGCTACTTAACTGTCTTTCAAGAATTAGGTTTAAATGGAACTGGAGCTGTACTGCCCCTGCTCGTCACCCAGCCGTCACCTGGAGCTCTCCTTCCCCGTGCCTCCACGGCCCACTTCTCTGTCTTGCGGTGGCTCCTGGGGGCCCCCACTGCTGAGCGCCGGGTGGGCCCCGGGCGAGTCGGAGGGAGCGGCCGGCCCTGCCCTGGCCAGGCCTGGGCCGCCCTTCTCCTTCTCTTTTAAAACGCTTCTCTGGCAGCTTTCACTTCTCTCGTAGGCAGGTCCCGAGCTAATATTTATCCTGCAAAGTATCTTAAAAATGCTGGAGGGCCGTGTTCGTGGGACTCCATCTTCTCTGAAAGGGAGTTATTGTTCCCGATAAACTGAGGCACTGTGTACAATGGCCGATTGTGTTTGAACTTGCGACCTTGCATCCACAGTTGGTTTTGTGAACAGATAGACTTGTTCGCAGTTCCTAAAGGTCTTTATCTCGGCGGCATTTGTTTGTTCCTGCGAGCCTTTGGCTGGGCTGGGGGAGGGGAGCGCTGGTGGGAACCGGTCTGGTATACTTCCAGGTGCCACTCGCTAGGATTGGCCGGCTTTTTAGGAATGTGACTTGCACTAGAGCCCTGCCTTTTTATGAACTGTTCCTTTAAAACTGGAGACACCTCGTCCAGAGGGAACACTGGCCTCACCCGGAAGAAACGGGATGTGAGTAGTAAGGCGGGTCACCCGGTGGGGGTGGCGTCCACGTGTGGTCAGATTTCAGGTGTAAAGGAAACCACGCTGATGGCGAACTTACACTTAACACCCGCAGTGAAACCCTTCCCCGAGGACGCTGCTTCTCCATGAAAGGAGCCACTTTCTGGGCCCAGTCCACCTTCCCTCCCGGCAGCCTCCTGCAGGCAGGCCGGAGTGGGGACAGACCCAGGCCCGGCTCCCACAATGGGACGGGGCGGGGGGGGGGGGTCCAAGTGAACCGCCCTGGAGGCGTGAGGTGTTCCTGGGCCCTCGCCAAATGGGGCAGAGTGGCCCCTGCCGGTCGCGGGCCCCCAGCAAGGCCGGCCCAGCGCGCGGTGCCCGTAGAGTCCGTTCTGTGGGATCTTAGACCTTAGTCTGGCCCAGCACTTCCTCCCGGGTCAGCTGACTCACTCTGCCCTGCTGACTTCCACTCCTCTTCTGTCTTTCTGCCTGTTTGTCTCCCTCCCTCCTGACTCATCCCCTGAGCTGGGTGTGTGGTCAGCACTCTGGGCTGCTGGCGGCCGCTGGTGGCCCAGGACGCCTGGAAGACGGCGTCCCGTGCCTTCCTGCTGTCCCCACACCACACACAGCTCATCCCCGTCCTTGGCCAGCGTTCTGTGGGTTTCAAAGTCGTGCTTAAAAGATTGTGGGTTTGCTGAATGGTTGTGGGGGCACTGGGTTCCTACAGGGGGAAACCCCACTTACTCGCTAGCATGGCCTTCCAGGTCATGTCCCAGCTGTGTCCCGCACGCTGCCTCACTTCCTGCACGCTCTGATAGGGTGTGCCTGCCAGAAGCGACGCCGTTCTGGCCATTAGCAGTGCATCCGCAGTGTCGTGCAGCCATCACACCGTCCATGCCCGCAACTTTGCATCTTCCCAGGCGGAAAGTGTCGCTAAGGAATGTTTAGGGACAGTTCCTTCATTGAAAACTCATTGGACTGTTAGTGCTGTGTTCACAGGTTTAACACGTGTGGCCCAGGTGCTGTCTGTGGGTCCGAGGACGGCAGGAACCTGAGGCCCCCCACCCCCAGCAGAGCCCGCCCAGGGGTGCATCACTGACTCCTGGGTGGGGGTGCGGTGACTGGGTCACTGTCCGTTCCCGGAGGAGGAGATGGAGCCTATTTTAAGCCCTTTCTTTGCACATTCAGATCCTGTGTCCCGGGAGTTCACCTGCTGAGCGTGTATCATGTGCCTGCGGCCCGCTCTGCCGGGGGCTCAGCTTTCATCTCCTCGGTTCTGGTGACTCCAGCGTTCATGTTCTCGGAGGTCTGTCCAGCTTCCCGGCAGGGGGCTGCTCTTCGGGGAGGGCAGGGGTCATTCTTGTGCCTGTGGCCTTACCGTGTCCCTGGTCCCACTCACCTCCGTCGCTATTGGACGGCACGGGGAGTCTCTGTGTCCGAGTGGCGCCGGCTGCGTGTGGACCCACACCCTCGGCGGGGGTGGCGGGGGAGGGAGGGCCGTGCTGTAGAAGGCCGCGTGCGTGCATCTCAGGTGCTGGGAACCGCTCGCCTCCCACTCTCACCTGGACGCAGGTGCCGGGAGCCCTGGGCCTCCTCGCCTCTGCTCGCCTGCCTGGCGCTGCTGGAGGCTCATTCTTCCGCCGGCTCACGGACAGCACTCCGAGCCCGGCAGGCACTGCGCCCACCAGGCAGTGAGCGGGGAGGGTGCCTGTTAGCTGATGTTTTCAGCTGAGAAACCCAAGTGGGCCCCCGGCCGCGGGCGGGGAGGGTGCGGTCCATCAGCCAGACAAGGAGCAGAGCCCCGAACTCCACGCCCGCCTCGCTGCAGGGCTGCTGCTTGTCTCTGGGCCTGGAGAGGAGAGGGGAGGAGAGTGGCTGAGGCCTTTCGCCTGGATGGCCACCGCGTCTAGCTGTCAGGGCCACCGCGAGTGAGTCTAGTACAGTGCATTGTGGGAGAATCGGGATGAACAGCAGGTGGGGTGTGGCTGGGGTAGTGCTTGACTTCAGTCCCTGGGGAGCAGGCTGAATAAAGCAGAGTGAAATCTGAGCTGCCCGTGGGTGGGTGGGGCTGTTGAATGAAAAGTCCTGTCATGTGACTGAGGCCTGTGGTGGTCACGTGACAGACCTGGAGTGGATGCGGAGGGAGCAGGCGCCAGGCCTACCTGAGTGGCTGGTCTCTGGGCACCACCGCACGGGAGGGGTCTAAGTCCCCGGCACAGTGCTGTGTCGGACGGCAAGGCTTCTGGATGGTTCCTGGTAACCAGCCCGAGTCTGTACCAAGTGCACCTGCAGGAGCTCATGGGGTCCAAAGGGCTGTCAGACCTGCCCTGCCCCCCACCTACCCCTCCTGGGGCTGCCGGGCCTGCAGGCCTGTGCCACAGCACTCCTGGATTCTCACCACCTGGCAGCACCCTGTGGTGTTCGGATAGGCCAATCAGAAAGTTCTCTTGAAGGCAGTGTATTGTTTGATTAACGTAAATGGTAGGTTCTATGGAAGCAGAAGGATGTGACTGTAATCACCCAGCGACGTCCGTCCTTGCAGAGAACTGGACATGCTCCCCAAGCTGGTCCAGGCCCTGCTCCCTGCACTCCCTGTGGGGGCTCCTGGACCGGCCGGCGGCTTTGTTGATGAGGCTGGTCAGGACACTCGGTTATTCTCCTCTTCCCAGCAGCACCTCATTAATACAAAGCACCCCTGTGCCTCCCTGGAATTTCCCAGGTGTGGAGAGTGGGGGATGAAGGTGTCTTTTGTTACGTTAATGAGGTGGCTTTTGGAAAGCGCTGGAGGGCGGGGGCTGGCTGCCAGGAGCCCCAGCCTGGTGATCAGAGGACTAGAACTCTGCCCCCCCCAACCCCCACCCCAACTCGGGGGTGGGGGGGCTAGAGGGGGAGCTCAGTGGCCGGTGGCCCAGGACTCGGTCCGGACTAGTAATGAGCCTCATAAACACCGAGGGCGAGGCGGCTCCGGTCCTGGAACCAGACCACCTCCACGTGCCACGCCCTGGCAGGAGCCTGCCCTGCGCCTCTTCCTCTGGCTGTCGACTCGCATCCTTTAAGATCCTTTGGAGTAAATCCATGACCTAATGAGGAAACGGGTTTTCCTGAGTTCTGTGAGCCTTTCTGGCAAGTTATTTGAGCCCAGGGAAGGGGTCCTGGGCCCCCCTCTCTCAGCCAGCTGGTCAGGCCACAGGCAGCGGCTGTGGCGGCATCTGGAGCGGCGGACAGTCTCGCAGACGGTGCCCTCCCTGTGGAGCCTGGTCTCTCTCCGGTGGAGAGGGTCCGGGTGGAGCTGCTGGGCTCGGGGTTGCTGTGGAGCGGGGAAGCCTCCACACACGTGGGAACGCCATTTCCAGGCGTCTGGCCGTGTTGGAAGGCTGGTTTTTAAGACGGCAGCGCACCTTCACTCCAGAGGTGACTGGGAGAGTAGGTCTCGTCATCACAGAAAACGGGGACCTCCGGTTACGGGGTCTCTCGTCTCTGGAGGTGGAGGCAGGCCCTGTGGGCTTATAGTCTCATCTACGCAGGTGAAGAAGCTCAGGGCAGGCGTTGCCCTCCCTCCCTTCTAGACGGGCTGGCCTCTCCTGCTCCCGGGGCCACTTCCCGCGTTAAGACCCGTAGGAGAGGGAAGGACCTGTGACACAGGAGGGTTTATGAGCGACCAGAAACGGCACGGGACGCTGAGGGGCGGCCTTGGACCAGTGGGGGCGTAGCAGAGCCAGTGTCCTGTGCGTGGGGCAGACCTGACTCGTCCTCGCTGCGCCGCTGACCAGCGACCCCAGCCCAGGTGAGCACGGAGTCAGCGAGGGGTGGCTTTGTGGTGGTTCTTTATGGCCCCGAAGGGAAAGAATAAATGTAACCAGGCCAAAGCCAGCTGCGGGTTCTCTTCATCCGTCAGAAGTTCACCTTGGAAAACCCCGTTGTGATTTTGACTTTTCGCGGGAATTTCATACTTCCCCTTTAAAAACGTGGGCCTTTGGGTTCGCCTGACTTTTGGACCCAGTGCCAGTCACTCCGCGTTGTTGGACCGTCGCTCCCGTGTCACTGCGCTGCGTCCTCTCTGGAGGGCAGACCCCGGTCGGAACCACTGATGGACGTGCTGTCTGAGCACCAGCGAGGATCGGGGTTCCTTCCTCAGGCCCCCGTCTCTCGGGTCGGCTTGATTCTGTCTGGGACACGAGGGGTTTTCATATTTTAATCGTTGGGTTGTCATGCGTGTCCCTGGGCGGCCTGGGACCTGCGTCCCTTCCTGTCGTGAGTGATGGAGGCCGAGTAGACCGGCCCCTGGCCTGGCGCCTGAGGGAGCAATGGACCCGCCGGCAGGGCTGCTCCTGGCCTTGCAGGTGGACCCTGAGGCTCAGTCTCTCTGGCGGCGGGTCTGGAGCTGTGCAGTGGGAACGCGGCTGCCTGTTGCCATGGCAGCCATAGCCTCATTCCTACTGGAGAGCTTGTGCGCACGACCAGGGCTAGGAATGTGGAAAGCCCTTGGTTTTTCACTGAAAAACAAGAAACCCTCCTGCTCAGCCCATTTGCAAACCGAGGAGCACCGAGGGGTGGAGGTGAGGGACGGAGCGTGTCTGTGCCGGCAGAAGGCGACTGGCAGCGGGTGTCTCCTGGGGGGCAGCTTGCCCGGGTTCCGTGTCATTTCCCCGAGTGGGCCTCTGACCGGGAAGCAGTCTGGGCCAGCAGTGGGGTTTCGTGGGATTTCAGGAAGTACCGGGTGCGCGGGTTTGCCAGGGTCTTTTCTTCCGTAGTGAGGGCACGCGGAACTCGCTGGGGCCGATGTCACGTCTTCTTATGGTCTCGGTCCAGAGCTGGTCTTCATTGCCTGCTGTGGGTCTGGCTCCCCGGCTGCTGTGTCCATGGCGCCTGGAGCACGAGGAGAGGTCGGGGCCAGGACACATCAGACGGGTCCCTAGTTAATCTCTTTAATAGTTAAAGCTGGCAGACGAGGGCAGGGCCTGTTTTAAAGGCGGGTGTGCAGCACAAACAGCTGTGGCCACACACCAGCCACCATGGCACTGGCCAGAGTCTGCCTGCCCGGGCGGTGCGTGTGCGTGTGCGCCTGCGTCACGTGTGCAGGCGTGCTTCAGCCACATGTGAACATGCGTGACCTCCTGACCCCCTGCGGAGGGGTTGGTCACTGAAGGTGGCCACGCCACATCGAGTGTGTGACTCGGGCAGAGGCTCAGGCCTGACCCGAGTGCGGAGCTGGTCAGGATGGCCCTGCAGTCCGCTTCTCCCCCGGCAAATGGTCGGAAGTCACATGTTTGGCATCACTTACCCTTAAATGAGAAACAGGACAATAGAGGAAGTTGTTGATTGCAGCCATTGTAGTTTCACTCATCTGAGTGCCTCTGCCCAGCACAGCAGTGCTGTCGCGAGCGCCCCCCATGGGCAGTGCTTCTGGGCGAGGAGCCTGTCCTAGGAGTTCTCTGGTCTCGAGTGGAAGGTCCCGGTAGGTCACAGCGTCCCCTGCTGCTGCTTTTCAGCAGCTGAGGAGGCTCTGGTCCAGAACCCCCTTTCGGGAGGGAGCAGGCAGCCTCAGCTCAGCGTGGCACTAAACGGGCTCTGCAGAGGGCACCTGGCAGTGCTTCCAGCGCCCCCGCTGCCGCTCCGGTGCCTCCAGCCTCCAGGGAGTCCGCTTCTGGGCAGCAGACCTGGCTTAATGGTATCTGATCGTCCCCCTAAATGTGATGGCAACCCGCCACCCAGGTGCTTGGCTAATGGGGAGGGCGTGGCAAGCTTTCCTTGCTTTTGGAAGTTTTGCTAAGTGTGGTGTTCCTGCGCTGAGTGCACCGGGGAGTGAGCTCCCAGAGCTGTGACCGCGGGAGGCTGTGCACCTGCCCACCGCTGCTGACAGGATGCTAACGGTGTTTGTCGTTTCCGTCAATATAGATGACAGTGACGCTACCTGGGTAACTGTCCCCTGGGCCGCTGCGTGTGCACTGCCTGACAGAGGGAGCCGCTGCGTTAATGCCTAGACTCCTTAACTAACAGGTAAACCCCGCCACGCCCTCGCCGGTGCATGGGATCCTCCGGGAGCGGGAGCGGCTGCCCCATCCCCTGCGTCCGACTCTTCAAGCAGCTGGCCGGGCGGGGGCGCTGGCAGCTGGTCATCACTCACTCATTCTCTCCGAGGCCTTCCTGGGCTCCCGCTGTGCGGCCAGGCTCGGGGGATGGAACGGATGGCGCTGGCTGAGGGGCTCTCCAGGGAGCGACTCCCTGGCCTGGGGGGTGCGTCCCCAAGGACAGGAGCCGTGAGGGCCTGTGACGGGAAGGGCCGTGGGCAGTTCTGCCGGGCAGGCTGAGCCTTGAGAAGAGACTTCAGGGACTCAGTGGCTGAGTGAAGGTTGGAGGGGGTTGAGGGTCATGGAGGGGCAGCAGATGCCCTGCCTGAGCGCGGGTCCTTCCGTCCCTCTGCCCCACAGACAGCGCCAGGGCAGGGACCTGCACTGCCCCAGACTGACAGGCTCCCCCCGCGGTGGCCATGTGGGCCTGGGCCGTCAGAGGGACTCGGCAGGACTCAGGCTGGGAGCCACTGCGACGGGCCAGGTGGCTGTGACCAGCTGCTTGGGGCCGGCAGCCCTGACCGCGAGGCAGGCGACAGGTGGTTGGACACTCACCCTCCCACTGAGCATAGGCCGTCCACGGCTGCCTCCCTCCTCCTCATCCCGTTCCCAGGGCCGGTTAGACATCTGCTGGGAGCCCCCAGCCCTGAGGTGTGACTGTGTGGTAACCGGGTCAGGTGACTGTCACCACGTGGCTTCACTCCGAGGCTGTCCAGGCAAAGTGGGGACATCGTCCGGGACTCGCTGAGTCCGCAGACCTGTCGGCGGGGTCGCCGAGCCTGTGGCCGCTGTGCGCTGGGCAGTCTCAGCTCCTCGGCGAGCCCTGCTCTGCCGCCTTCTTGTTGAAATAAGCCGCAAGAACTGCCACGGCTGTGGGCCCGCCTCCCTCACGGCCGCCTGGGCGCCAGCGCCTGGTTCTCGAGCGTGGCCTGACTGCGGGTCCTTCCTCTCTTGCAGATTAGCCGGTCGCTCGATGGGGAGCAACGGTGGAGCCCCTTCCCGTGTCAGCGCCCCACCTCTCCGCAGCCCCAGAAACCACGCCTGCACCCCCTCGGTCATGATGATGAAACTGGTATTAACTGAGTGGCAATTATGGATTTGTAACTCTCACTCGCAGTAACCCAGCAGCCACATGCTCAGAATCCAGCCAGAAAGCGCTCTGCCTGCTGCGCACCGTCCGAGTGGGAAGTTGTGCCAAGAGGAATATAAGGATTGCTCGCCGGGGAACGCAACGGAAGCAGAGAGAGGAGACGTCTTAATTTATCCTTACAGATACGCGGTAGTGTTATTTACATAGGTAGAGTCAGCAATACAGATCCGTTTCGGTGGTGATGAGAATGGCCCCGCAGAATGCCGACTCGGAGTCCATGCAAGTCCAGGAGCTGCCCGTGGCCCTGCCCGAGCTGCGGAAGCCCGCGGGCGCCGGCCCCGAGCCGCGCGATGAGACCGTCAGCGAGGGCTCCATCGACCGCATCCCCTTGCGCCTGTGGGTGATGCACGGGGCCGTGATGTTCGGCAGGGAGTTCTGCTACGCCATGGAGACGGCCTTGGTCACGCCCATCCTGCTACAGATCGGTAAGTGCCGCCGCCGGGCCCTTCGCTCCTTCGGCACGTGGAGCAGAACGAGGGCTGGCGTGGGCTCGGGGACCTCGGGGCCCACGGCCTGGACCCCTCTGCTCCTGTCTGAAACCAGGGCAGGGGAGGGGACGGTCCCCTGATGTTGGGGTGGAATCAAGGCTTTGGGGGTTTGAATAAGTGCAGTTGGCATTGATCCGTCCCGTCGGGGCGTGCGACCAGCCCATGGAGGCAAGAGGTGAGCCTAGCATGACACCTGGTGGGAGAAGACACCGAGCAGCTTGATTAAAGCCCTGTTGTCAGTGTTGCTGTCACCTGCAGTCTGAGTGTCGTGTGCATCTCCGGCGGCGAGGGTCCGGGTTGTCAGAAGTCCTAGAGTCCGCGGTCCCTTCCACATCACCCCGAGGTGTTCACTTTCCCTGTTGTCGAAGGAAGTTTAACAATGTGTGATTTTTCAGCCTAGAAGAGGTTTGAGTAAGGGACCAAGCCATTTAAAAGTATAGTTTCATTCTAGAATTTCCCATGTGCTTGGTAAAGTATTTGTAAAATCTACTCATTTGGGTTTGGAAATGTCCCTTTCTCCCGATCGGCCCAGTCTCTGAGTCGGATCTGAAAACCAGAGTTTTCTGCGTGGTGCCCGCGGGGTGGGGCAGCGACCCCGGGCCAGCAGAGAGCTGGGCGCATCTCCGTCCCTGCGGGGCCGTCGTCTGAAACTCCGCCTGCGCCCCATGCCTGTCATCACACAGCGGTCCTTGGAGGGAGTAGGGGACAAAAGGCGGTCATTTCTCGGGGCTGGACTCGCCTCCCGCTCCTGGGGCAGCACAGTGGTCAGAGCTCTCACTGAGCCCGTTTCTCCAGCAGGTTGGCCCCGCGGCACGTGCCCTCGGCGGGCCTCCTGGGCCTCCTGATGGTCTCAGGTGAATGTGTGCGGTTTCTGCTGGCGTCTTACCAGGGCTTGTCCCGCTGCGTGCAGTTCTTGTGCATTCTTCATGGAAGTCCTTGATCACATACGTGTTTGCCGTTTTCGCCCTGGTCTGTGGTTTCCCTTTCGCTATCTTAGTAGCATCTTGAAATCAGAAGCTTTACATGTAGATGAAAACTGGCATGCTAACTTTTTTCGTTTTTGTTGTAACTAGAATCTTGGCCTGGCCCCGGTCAGGATGGTGTCCTCTCTGTTTTCTTCTAGCTGGTTTGTAGTTTTAGCTCCCACAGTGAGGGCTGTGACCCGCCTTGAGTTGGTGTGTACGTAGAAGAGTTGAAGGGTCTTTTCTCACATCATCTGGGGAGGGGGGCGACGGGCAGGGTCCTGGGCGCCCTCCTCACCTCTGACCTGGAGCTGACCCTCCCTGCCACCTGCTCTTGCTGCTGTCCTCAGAGTAGGAATCCCCCGGAGGAGAATTCTCAGGCCCCAGGCTCGTCTGGTACAAAGGAGATCCAGCAGAGGGGAGGGTGTGGCACTGGGCAGGACCCCCAGCTGTCGGCCCAGCATCCAGGGGCAAAGGAGGCTCCCGCAGACCCAGCCCACCGCACAGGCAGTGGGTGAGGTGCCGGCCACTTCACGTGCCCGCAGCCCGTGAATGGGGTGAATGGGGCGTCTCAGACTTAGAATCCAGTGGGAGTGGGGGTCAGTCTTGGGAAACTCTGGGAACAGCCTGCCCAGCCTCTCTGGGGCCTGTCGCCCGCTGGCAAAGTCTGTTCCCACACAGCCTTTCCCGGGAAGGAGGCGTGTGGGCGCCTGGCCACACACACCCATTGTTTTCTTCTGGTTCCGGAAGTAGCCCCGAGGGAAAGGAAAATCCTATAAAGAAGAAAGGATGTCTCGCTGCCTCGGGTCTGACTAATGAGCTGGGTTAAGGCTGAGACACCGACTCCTGCCCGGCCCTGCCTGGGAGTCGGGCCGGAGGCATCCTAGCCAGCAGGGTGCTGGGTTCTCCTGGAGCCGGCGAGGTGCACCTGCATTTTGTGTGTGTGTGTCTGTCTGTTAAAAAGCCAGGCTCTTCCCCTTCCCGTTGTAGCCTAAGGAGAATCGGGGCCCCTGGGGTTTGGGAGACCCGGACGCCCCTCTTTCCTGTGAGAAAGCCCACCCCAGAGAGCACAGAAGGGCCAGTGCCCCCCCCTCCTCCACTCGGGATTGGGCAGGAGCCAGGTGACTCCGAGTCGCCTGGAGGCCGGCCAGGCAGGAGCCAGGTGACTCCGAGTCGCCCATACAGCCCACCACCGAGAGCCAGGTGCAGCCAGTCTGGATTGCCAGCTGATTGGTGGACACGCACAGGGCGGGGCAGTGACTGCCAGCTGATTGGTGGACACGCACAGGGCGGGGCAGTGACTGCCAGCTGATTGGTGGACACGCACAGGGCGGGGCAGTGACTGCCAGCTGATTGGTGGACACGCACAGGGCGGGGCAGTGACTGCCAGCTGATTGGTGGACACGCACAGGGCGGGGCAGTGATTGCCAGCTGATTGGTGGACACGCACAGGGCGGGGCAGTGACTGCCAGCTGATTGGTGGACATGCACAGGGCAGGCGCATGGACAGGTGCCTAGTGAGCGCTCAGAAGGAGAGGATCGTGCTGGGCCGCAGTGCGCGTGCATCTCGTTCCGCGCACGTGTGCGGCCACGTGTGTAGAGGGTCCTTCCGTCCTACCTGACCCGCGGCCATCTGCTCCCCCAGGTGTGCAGGGTGCTGCTCGCCAGGGGTGTGGTGAGGTTCGCTCCCTTCCCTTGTGCCGGTGGGTCCGAGGCGGAACTTTGTTCACCGTGTGTCTGAAGCTCAGGGCAGCTGCTGTGTGAGGTTCCCGGGGCTCCCCTGGCCTGGGGGACCGTGGTCCAGCGGTCGGTTGCTTCCTGCGTGGAGAGTGCTGGGCTCAGAGCTGCCCCACCCCGCCCCACCCCGGGAGCTCTGGCGAGTGAGGAGGCAGGTGCGCCCGGGGCCACGCACGGTGGGGACGAGAAACGGCCCAATTGGGAGGGGGTGCCTTAAGACATCAATCTCAGTGAAATGACCCAGACACACAGGACAGATGCGACGTGACCACCCGTGTCAGGTCCCCGGAGTGGTCGCCTCCATGGAGACGAAGGTGGGGGTGGGGCAGCACCGGTGGAAGGTGGCTGTTCTGGAGGAGGACGAGGGTGGGGTGGCGCCCGTAGTGCCCGAGCCGCACGCTCAGAGCTGCATGCCGAGCAGTGGATCTGAGTCGGGTGGGGACCCTTTTCTCTGCCAAGGCCCATGTGGGTATTTCTAACATCACCCGAGGGCCGTGCACACTCACCCAGTTAAAGTTCGCTGCTCTGTTTCCTCAAGCACTTAGCTCACCCCTGTGCCTGGGCTTCAAGGGCGGGATGGGCCCCGCCCCTGGTCTGAGTGGTAAAGTTTACACTGTGTCATTTTGCCAGTTTCTAAAATGTGAGAAAGCACTGAATGGGCCATAGGCTGTCCACAGACGATTTCCTGCTGCCTGGAGACTGAGGAAGCTTCCAGGGGCTCATGGCCCAGTGCCGCTGGCCGGCTGCCCACCCTCACCCCGTGGGGGAGAATCCATGACGTGGGCACGCTGTCCTTGCTGGGTCCTCCGAAACGCGGTCAGACCTGCGCGGAGGCACGCCACCGAGGGGCAGCGTGGGCGCCGTGGGCCTTTCCCGGCGCCTCCCGCCTCTTGACCAGAGCAAAGCCCGTGCGTCCTGGCTGTTTGGTTTGGCTGGGAAGTCTGGGTTTCCTTGTTTCAGATCATTGTGTTTTAGAAACAATGACATGTCAGCGGTCGGTCGTCATTTTTCCCAAGGAGTTGGGCCTGTTCTTTCATCAGCCTCTGAGCCGTACCTGGGTGCGGGGCCAGCAGTTGGTAGATGAGGAATGAGGCTTAGGAGGGATGCGCTGCTGCGGCCCTGGTCCCAGGGCGCAGTGGCTCCAGGTTGGGAGGCTGACAGGAGGCGGTGCCTGGTGTGGGTGCCCCTGGCCTGGGCAAAGGCTGTGACCGGTGGCCTGCAGAAGCAAGATTAGGAGGCACACTTACAATGCAGGCCACTGCCCGAGCCTGGGGGACAGCGGGAAAAGGACAGCTAGCGCCAACGGGCACAGCGAGAGGGGAGGCTGCATTGAGAGATCCGGGCCCTGGTAGGCAGGGGTCTGATCACAAGAGGCCTTATTCGCCACTCCAAGGAGGTGATTTACAGAGAGCTCTGGGCCATTCTGCACATATTAACACGAGTAAAGAGCAGTGGTGTTGAGCAGTTTTAATAGGGCTGTATTGTATTGCAGCAGCTTTCAAACTTGCTGGGTCATTATAATCTTCCAAAATTACAGTAATGACAGAACATGAACCATGTACTAGTATATACACAGTGGAATTAAAAGCGACAGGAAAAATTGTATCAGAGCAACCAGTACAGTATGTGTCCACCAGCGAAGTATGTTCCAGGTGGCGGTGGTTTTGTCCTGAAAAGTGTCTTCCACCGACACGAGCCGTCTAAGTGGGAGGGGCCCCCCTGCCGGGGAGTAGGTGGGTATGTGGTGAGTGGGTGGGTGGGTGGGT